ATCAGAGGTCTTGGTTGCCAGGCATGATGTCCGAAATACGTTTATTCTCTTGGTAAACTTCCCTTGGTTGATTTACAAAGCTTCAGGGAGGAAATAGATGTATTGTAATCTTGCTGTAAAATACTGCTCACCAGCACCCAAAACACAACATATACTGTATGCTGCTAACCATCAGTGTTGATTCAGCAAGGAAGAGAAATACATTTTTAATGGGCTTGCCTTCCAGTAAGTGATGTTCTCAACACCAAAGAGCAGCTTCTCCACTCAGTGAGAAGACTCAAGGGTCTGGCATTTCACCTCTGAAGTCTTTAATGTGGAGTACAGAGGAGCAGTGCTTCCCTGAGATGCCTTCATAATTAGTCAGCACCTTGTGGGAAAAATAAACGGTGCGACCATTTGTCTGGTGCAAAGAGCCCTTGGATGACAAACAAATCATTAGAAATGGCTGCTGGCCTAGACCCTTACATGAGACTTCTAGTTAGTGATGAATGAATTTGTTCACCTCACTGTGGGGAAGGGTGTTATGTCTACTCTAGGCATTTTTACAAATGCTTTACAGCTGTCGAAACATTTTGAACACAGAATTATTTTCAATGCTTTTGAAAATTTCATTGTCATTTTATCTGTTACAGAGAATGTCATGGTCAGTGTTTGGTGAAATGCATTAGAAAGCACTTAATTGCTGTAATTTAAAAAAAAAAATCCCTTGAAAGATAATACTCTTAATTTTTCAGTAATTTAATTACAGTTATAATTGCATTACTGAACACTTTAAAATGCTGGGTTGTTTCAACCCATGTTTGGGCCAAATATGAAGAAACCCAAATGTTGATTTAATTTTTTTAATTAATTTTTTGGTCACACTTTAGATTAGGGTCCAGTTCTCACTGTTAACTATAACTTTTGCCTCAATAAACTCCTTATTGCTGATTATTAAAAGATAAGGTAGTTGTTAGGTTTAGGTATTGGGTAGGATTAAGGGTTGTAGAATTATGTTCAAGTAGAATAAGACATTATTATGTGATTTATAAGTACTGATAAACAGACAATATCCGCATGCTAATAAGAAATAGTTAACAGTAAGAACTGGACCCCAAACTAAAGTGTTACCAAATGGTTGGGTTAGTCTGTTTGACCCAAACATGGTTTGAAACAACCCACAGCATTTTTTAGAGTGTTCAGACTATAAAACAATATTTAAAATCAAAATGTCTACTGGTAAAAAATGTAATGTTTATAATGCAGCCTTCAGCCTTTAAATAATGGGCTGCTATGCCACCGATGTCTGGGCTGGTCATTCCGCCTCGCTGCACCACCAAGGGGACGCATGACCCCACTGGTGCGGTCCTTGGCTAGAGCTTCCTAATCTGTCTCGCTGGGTCTCCCGAACCATCAGGCTCGGCTACGCAATTCAGTTCGTACGGTCTCCTCCCCGCTTCAGGGGAGTCCGCTTCACTATGGTCGGTGGCAATGGCGTGTCATTAGAGCGGAGGTCGCCACCCTACTGGCGAAGGGTGCGATCGAGACTGTCCCTCCAGCCAAAATGAGGTCCGGCTTCTACAGCCCCTACTTCATTGTCCCGAAGAAATCCGGTGGGTTACGGCCAATCCTGGACATGCGGGACCTTAACCACTCCCTTCACAGGCTACCATTCAAGATGCTCACAGCCAAATGCATTATCGAATTTGTGCAGCCCCAGTATTGGTTTGCAGCAATCGACCTAAAGGATGCCAACTTCCATCTCTCCAGACCGTTCCTACGGTTTTCTTTCGAGGGGCAGGCATACCAGTACGCGGTTCTCCCGTTCAGGCTCGCATCTTCACAAAGGTCGTCGAGGCAGCCCTTGTACCGCTTCGGCAAAAGAGGCGTACTGGACGACTGGCTGATCCTAAATCACTCTCGAGACCAGGTTTGCGAACACAGGGACCTAGAGCTCCAGCACCTACCTCGTCTCGGTCTTCGGGTCAACTAGGGAAAGAGCAAACTTTGCCCCACGTGCAGAGGATCTCTTTTCGAGCGAACACACGCAGTCACTGCTGTCTTGCCTGAGACAGTACGAGGCCACGGTTCATGGATCCGCAGCTGCGGCAACACTGCTTGGTTTGCTTCATATGAGGCCGCTTCAGCTCTGGCTTCCCAATCGAGTCCCAAGGTGGGCATGGCAACAAAGCACGCTCCAAATACCAGTTTCCGACCTGCCCCCAGACCTTCACCCTGTGGATAAACCTCAGCTTTCTACAGGCAGGAGTGCCCTTAGACCGAGTTTCCAGGCATGTTCCAAGCATGTCTCAACAGATGTCCCCACCACAGGCTGGGGTGCCCTGTGCAATGGACATGCTGCCGCAGGCTTCAGGACAGGGCCCTCCCATAAGCAGCCCCGACATTAATTAGTTCTTGCGGCAGCTCTTCAAACCCCTTGCCATTTACGATATTAAAAAGCCTAATGTCTTTACAGCAAAAGCTGACACACTTCTCCGTCACCGTTTGTTTCACCTTTGCAGGAATGGGTTTTGATGCTGTAACAAACAATGTGATTGTAGTTTGATCCTGGGCACTGGCAGGTGTTGAACAGCTTCGATCAACATGCCTTTTCAGTGACGAATTCCTTCTCGTTTTGCTGTCGTACTTTAACAGAATGTCGCATCTTTTGCATTTCACACATCCCACTGTCTCATTATGCACAAAGTCTAAATTTTTCCACACCTCAGACTGCTTTCTTTGTCTGTGCAACCAAAACATAATCGGCAGAGGCCAACCTCTGTTTCACCTCCTCAGCATCCATTTTCGCGCTAATCGAAACGCATCACCTGACCACTCATTTACCGCGCAATCCAGAGTGCAAGCCCGGCCTGCGCAAGCCCGAGCCCGCGTAAAATGAACTAAATTCAGGCCGAGCCCGACCGAACCCATCGTTCAGGCAGACATCTTCAGCTCTAACGCAGGGCACTGGAAGACTGCTGAGAGGGTGGCATGATTAGACTGGTAACCCCATTCGTCGTCGAGTAACAATGAAAGGGAATGTCTCCGTTCCCTTCTCAGGGAACGAGGGTTACATTCGTAACCGAGACGTTCCCTTTCGTTGTCACTACAAGTTACTTCTCCCTACCATTTCCGCTGTACTGAGTTCAGTCTTGGCTCCTCAGCAAAGAAACATATCTGCCTATTGTCGGCGTTCTCCTTTTCATACCACGAAGTGGGGCGGAGTTACGCCATGAAAATTCCGCAGACCCATGGCATTTCCTTACCATTGGCTTGTTTTATTTCTTTCGAAGATGAGAGGCTTCTAAGCGAACCCCATTGGTCGTCATCCGGCGTAACATCTCCGTTCCCTACTCAGGGAACGAGGATTACATTCGTAACCGAGACGTTGCTGTTTTTATTTTTTTTGCAGATGTCATTTTGTCCACACACTGGCTATTTTTCTGTAGTTGACTGTATATATTTGGATGGACTAGACTGTGTGCTGACTTGTATATTTCTGTGAAAGTCAAACATTGGATCTGTGACAAACCATCACGTAATCATTTTTGCAGTGATGGTAGTTTACATAGTGTAAATGCGCTTAATTTATCATCTCTGCTGCTATTGCAATACATCAGAAATTGTGTATCTTCATAGTCCAGATTGCCGCATGACTCATCATGTTTATTATCTTGCCCAGAAGAACGGTAAGGAACATAGAGTCTTTAAAGTATGTTTTTCTTTCATCTGGATGTAGAGTGTACTACAAAAGAATACCAGCTGTATAAGTGTCTCTAAATAAACGTCCCCAGCATTCCCAGGAAATTATGGATAAATGCAGTTTTCAAAGTTAAAGGAATGAACCAGATAGATCTGCAATTTCTTGATAAAGTACAGATGTGATTTGACATACAGTCTCAGAACGCCCCGTTACGGAAGGGACAGAGACCTAAAGACAGAAAAGAAGTGCTAAATATCGATATATTTCATGGAAATTAGCCAAGTATCCATTAATTATGCATTATTCACAAAAAGCTTATGTATTTAGATTGAAGCAGGCAACCACATTGCACTCAGTTTTTGTAATTCTAGACTAAATTATTGTTTAAATCAATATCTAATTTTTCAGCATTGAAAGATCCCCCTATTGCTCTATCATTCTTGGGGTTTTCTATCAGTCAATAGCATGAAAATGACATTCCATTTTCCAGATCAAAGGTATCTTTCCAATTCATCACAAAATGAGCAAATCAGTTAAGGCACAAATGACTTGTGTAACTAGCTTTCTGTGCTACTGATGTGTGCAAACCATTCTTTCATGCTACACCAACATTGGTATAATGAAAGTCAAGCTCGGGGTTAAATCTATGATCAGTAGGGTTTAACATTTCTTTTTGCGATAAAATCGAAATCAGAGTATCTTCTAGACAGAACAAAATATCCATCCATCCATCCATCTCTTTTGAACTTCCATCTCTTTTAAACTTCTAATGTTCCTTAAAAAAATATTTGAAAGCTCCTAAACTTTGTTTAAATCATCCCTTTTTGTTATTCTACTTTTCAATTTGTCTGCCTGCGTATATGTTTTACAAGAGGACTTTGGATTACTTATGTTAAAATTTAACCTGTGTTTTTCTGAATAGACAAGTATATGATGTAATACAAAGTACATAAAACAGCATTGTCATAAATCTGTACACTTCAGCACATATTCGTATTTTTAAATTGGATTAGAAAAGCGCTGAAAAGCTGGTAAAATATGTCTGAAACGTTACTGCAGTGGTATTGTGGAAAGTGCATTTGTATGGTGTAGATAATGGTGGTTATCTGGGCTCTTAAATTAACATTTCAATGAAGTTCATAGTTGCGTTACACTTAATGGCTTGAAGCACAATGTGTATTGTAACTGAAATCATAACATATATATAATATAATATGGGGAAGGGGATGTTTTTTCAAGTCCGTTTCTGTAGTACCTTCACATACCCATTACTCGCCCTGTTCAAATTGTTTTTCCGATCTATTTTTATCTATTGCAGATACACCAAAATGAAAACTGCGACCAACATCTACATCTTCAATCTTGCTTTAGCAGATGCCTTGGCAACAAGCACTCTGCCCTTCCAGAGTGTGAACTACCTGATGGGTACATGGCCTTTTGGAGACATTCTGTGCAAGATTGTGATGTCCATTGATTACTACAACATGTTCACCAGTATCTTTACCCTTACCACTATGAGTGTCGACCGCTACATCGCAGTTTGCCACCCGGTTAAAGCCCTGGACTTCCGAACCCCCAGAAATGCCAAGATTGTCAATGTGTGTAACTGGATCCTTTCATCTGCCATCGGTCTCCCTGTCATGGTCATGGCCTCCACCACTACTGAGTACCAAGGCAGTATGTTTACCACCACATTCTCCTATGTACAGTCAATGTAAAATAAGAAGAAATATCTTATTTTGTTTTCCACAGAAGCAAGAAAGTCACATATGTTTAGTGTGAGACATATGGATGAATTGATAATAGAATTCTAGAATTTTGTTCCTTTTTTTATTAAAATTCCTCTTCAAGGCCAATTACAATGAAAAACATGTAATAATTTTCATGTTTTGAAATGAACTATTGCCTTTTGACTAGCTTCCTCAAAGCAACAAATGATGTTGTGCCAAAATACAAAATTCTAATAGTCTGATCAGATGCACTGACTTTCCTATGACAAAAACCTATGACAATAATTTAAATCTAGTCAATACTCAGACTGATCTCATGAAGTAGCGCATGTATGACACGCCAATTCGTATTTCCATTTTTGGCGTGCTATCAACACACATAATCGCTTTTCAGCGTGTTTATGAACGCCGTTGAATTAACGTTATATAAATATATGACTTACCCCAACCCCGTCCCTAAACCTAACCGTCACTGGGGTTAATGACATTTATGACTGTTCCCTTACCATCCTAGGAAAGAAAAAGATAGGTCCCCAGATGTAGATGTACATTTTGCTTTGTTTCGCTCGGACATTTGACGGCGTGTACGGACACGCGGAATCACGCGGACGTTAATGGCGTAGACATACACACGGATACATGCGGATAGCTCAAAATGCGTAGAGATAACACGCCACTTGAGTCGAAAGTGTATGTTTACGCAAAAGTCATGATGTCATGTTGCAGAACTGGTGGCAGTTGGGTAAATGTTTGGTTATGAACATTTCTAAATCAACAAATAACTATTACCGATTGGTCATGAAAATGTCATTTGACAGTTTAGTTTTGTTGTATAAATTAGTAATAGAATTCTATAAAACAATAAAATAATCATATTTCAAAAAAAGAAAAAAACATTAAGATAGTTTTCTCAATACTGGAAATGTTCAGGTTTTTACTGTGTTGACACAAATTTTGCAGAAAATTTTAGATTAATGTCACTTCTAGACATTTGGGGAGAAAAATCATAAAATGGTTTAATAGCCCATGTCTTTGAGGCTCCCTAAACAATGCCTTGAGGAAATAATGACTAGTGGTTTAACTGTCTTCTTTGTAAATTAATTGATTTTCACACGTCTCAATGTGTTATTGTACTGAGGTATATTCTTATTTTCACAGCGTTTGCAGTCACTGACTGCACTTTGCTCTTTCCCCACCCCACCTGGTACTGGGAGAACCTCCTGAAGATCTGTGTCTTCATCTTTGCCTTCATCATGCCCGTTCTCATCATCACCGTCTGTTATGGCTTGATGATCCTTCGCCTGAAAAGTGTGCGCATGTTGTCTGGTTCTAAGGAGAAGGACCGCAACCTACGGCGCATCACCCGTATGGTCCTGGTGGTGGTGGCAGTTTTCATCGTCTGCTGGACGCCGATCCACATCTTTGTGATCATCAAGGCCCTGGTGACCATTCCCAGCTCACTCCTGCAGACCGTCAGCTGGCATTTCTGCATCGCTCTCGGCTACACCAACAGCTGCCTCAATCCGGTGCTCTACGCCTTCCTGGATGAGAATTTCAAGCGTTGTTTCAGGGAGTTCTGTATTCCCAGTCCCTCCGTGCTGGACCTGCAGAACTCCACACGCACTAGGAACCCCCAGCGTGAGGGCCAGTCCAGTGGCAACACGGTTGACAGGACAAATCAGCAGGTATGACTAGTCCTGGAGATGTCATCACTGGAGTCCCACTGCCAACCCAGTGTTGACATGAGCTCGGAGGTCACGCAGGTCACCACAGGTGTCTAACACCCTCATCTATAGGACTTGCCGTAGGTTGAACCTCTTTATGCATCTTGCTAGGCCTCCCTTAAAGAGCTGTTTTACAATTTTGGTATGGAGAAAGACTGTTAAAGTAGATTTCAGAGTGAAATATGATATAAATACTATATTATTTACCCCAAATTACCCCGATAAGCAGAGCTTATTTCACTATCTGTGATGTTCACAGTCGTGCATCTGATGTAACTGTTAGATTAGTCCAGTATTGAAGAAGTATATATATATATATTCTCTAATAGTTGCCTCTTAAGTCCCCTTTAATATTTAAATGTTAATAATTATTTTAAAAGTGATCACATTGCTTTATTTGTTGAAAGAAGAAAATAGTATGTACAGTATTCACTTATGCTCACAGAAAATGTAAATTAGGTAAGATAAAATTATGTTTTTTTGAAAATGTACAGCATTCAGTGTCTTTCCCTTGAAACATATTGCCATTTTAACCTGCTTTCATGGACAACAATGCAATTTGGTTAAGCTGTCTTATTCAATTATATTCCTTTGGAGTGATTGAAATTAATCATCAAATGACTGCTTGAAGTGACGTGCGCACAGTTTCTCTGATTTACCATGGACTTCATAGAAAAGCCGAACACAATAAGAAATGCCTCTCGCAACAACGCATAATTTTCATGCTTTGGTGGTGACAAATGTATTGTGCTTGTAAGCTGATGCAAACCTCTTGTACTAATGTAAATGTCCAATGTAATTGTCTGATTGTCACTCACATTAAGACCTGTCTGAAAATGTTTGATGCTGTAAAATAGAAGATCTGTATGCTGGTGTTTCTGTATGTTTTTATATATGCAGCATTATAAATAAATCATTCACAACAGAATATGTGTTTTTAGTGAGATGGCACTGAATATTTAGATTTGATTTGAAAGTTATGTGAATGCTTTGTCATACTATATGCTTTGTGTCAGTCACTATTTGCTGTGGCTCTGAAAAAATTAATCAGCATTAGATAATGGATGAGTTTAATGCCTTAAAGGGTTAGTACACACAAAAATAAAAATTATGTCATTAATGACCACCCTCATGTCGTTCCAAGGCTGTTCATCTTCGGAACGCAGTTTAAGATGTTTTAGATTTAGTCCGAGAGCTTTCTGTCCCTCCATTGAAAACGTTTGTACGATATACTGTCTTTGTCCAGAAAGGAAATAAAGACATCATCAAAGTAGTCCATGTGACATCAGTGGGTTAGTTAGAATGTTTTGAAGCATTGAAAATATATTTTGGTCCAAAAATAACAAAAACTCCCGACTTTATTGAGCATTGTATTCTTTTCCGGTTCTGTTGTCAATCCGCGTTCAGTGATGCTCATGACGTAAGACGCTGCTGACGTGTTATCTGTGCGCCCGAGCTTCATTTACAGTCAGAGGGAGATGCACGCTGTAAACAAAACAACCTTCGCGAACATGTCTAAGGATTTCGACACAGAGGAATACTTGCTTTTTTTCGCCAGCCATATTTATTTGAACCCGAATACATGGACGCACCAGATACACGTCAGCAGCGTCTTACGTCATCAGTGCCACTAAACGCAGATTGACAACAAAACCAGAAGATAATACAATGCTGAATAAAGTCATAGTTTTTGTTATTTTTGACCTGCTCCTCATCCTCCCTGATCTTGCAGGGTCTGATCCCAAACTGATCCCAACTTTTGGGCAAAGTCCTCGACCTCTCCGCCGAAGAAGCCGGCCAGGGATAAGGGGACGTCGAGGAGCCGGGTCTGCTCCGTGTCCCGCATATCGGCCAAGTTCAGTCAGAGGTGTCGCTCCTGGACCACATTAGTGGATATCACCAGACCCAGGAAGCGAGTGGTCACTTTCGATGCCCAGAGAGCAAGGTCAGTGGTGGCACGCAGCTCATCAAAGAGCCCTGTGTCAGTCCTGCCCTCGTGCATGTCCTTGAGCATCTGGGTCTGGTAGACCTGCAGAATGGCCATTGCATGCAGTGAGGCGGCTACCTGTCCTGCGGCTCTATAGGATTTCGCCACGAGTGTAGACGAAAACCTACAGGCTTTGGACGGATGCTAAGGATCGCCCCTTTCTCGGGACGACCCTAACCAATGGACCAAAAAAAACAAAACAAAAACAACGGTCCAACCGCGGCAGCCCGGAAAAGTATGGCCGTCATCTCAGGATCAGATTGGGCAATGCTGAAACATCCGACGGTGGCAGCACAGCTGAATCCTTACTTCCCGAGAACTCGTACCCACCTTGCCGAAAGACACACGCCAGGCATCCAATGAGGGGCACACGGGCGTCATCAGCAAACTCACGGGTTGCATTATCGGAGAGGGCTGTGTGAGCCGAGGATGCATTAGAACACACCGTCACCCTCTGGTCACCCTGGCCACCAGTCGAAGTACAACCTCTTGCGGAGACGGTGGATCGGGGTGTGGATGAGGGTAATGTAATGTTGCGATTGTCATGTTCCCGTAGTGAGAACATTAGTCATCCACAAGACCCCAACCAGAAGTACCGACTCCAACCAGAATTACCTGGGCGAGTCATCTTTAAAAAGCTCTTTTAGAGAGGAATAAACTGATGTTTATGCTGTAGCGGCCGGGGAGAACACACACACACACACTGGCAGAGCACTGCACAGATCAGCAGGCAATGTGAACTCGCTGGAGATCGCCGTCACACCAATACCAGACAGTTGCTCGACTCATAGAGTGAAGAAAACTCAGAGTTGGCTTGTGGAGTTAAGAGATCCTCTTGGCTCCGAAGTGAAAACATATCTGCATGTTGCCAGCCTTCTTCGTTTTATACCCCCGAGGTGGGGCGGAGTTACGTATTTCTTTGGCTCATTTTGTAATACTCAAAGTTGAAAGGCTTTCTAAACGAAGCCTCATTTTGTTGTTGTTCGACGTAACTCGAAGTGACTACGAAAGTGAACTCTTTTTGGTACAAGAAAGAGAGAACCCTTTAAGAACACAAAATATAAGACTGCTGCAGCTGTTTTCAGTTATTACCAGAATCTCTTATCTTATCAAATTTGAGACTCATGCCAGCTGTAAGGGGCCAATAATTTGGTTCTGTAATACTGTGAAATCAAATAATCATGGTCTTTGAGCTGCCATTTCAGTCATTTTGTAGCAGAGTTTCCCCCCACGTGCACTCTTGTTGCAACACTCCGGGGAAATTAAGTAACAGAGAGCTAATATGTTCAGGACATCTCGGCATATGACCTAAGGCAAGAGAAACAGTAGAGTGGCAGTCATTCAGGACATCATTGTAGTTCACATTTAACTGTGACCTTAGGGTGCAGAATTTTTACAGCAATGGAAGCTTGTTTCTTTTCCTCTGCAAATATGATCATGTATGAAACCTAATTAAAAAGATGAAGTCCGTAACATGAAACCATGGATGAACATTTGGGTTGATTGCTCCATTTATAGAGTTTTAGTTTTCACATCTGCCTCTTTTCATCCCTTCCGCTGGTTGTCATTAATATAACATAATTAGAGGTGGACAAAGTACACAACTTCCTCACTTGAGTAAAAGTACGGATACTACTGGTCAAATATTACTCTGTTACAAGTAAAAGTTGTAAAGACAGATTTTTACTTAAGTAGAAGTACAGGGCTTGTATTTATAAAGAATCTTAATGCAAAGAGTAGCTCCTAGAGACAAATTTCTAAGAACATTCTTAGAAATGTGGGTGTTTACTCCTCCTAGTAAAAATCCTAGTAAAGAAAAAAGTAATTCAGAAAGTATCTTAACCCTTAAAAGAGGTCTTGAGGTCAAAATTGTTAGGGACAAGGACTTTTAAGGGGCTTAAGAGTTTCTTTAGCAGAAGAGAAACATTTCAGAAAGACGAAGCGGGAGAATTAATGTGTTGCAGACAATGTATGACAGTGAGTTAATAAGACGCTAAATGGCTGAGAAATCTACAGTTATTGTTCGGCTCGCCTGTGCTTTTTTCACTCCTCCCCTCACTGCAGCTGCACTCTCGACCACATTTCAGGCGAGGCAAGGCGTATCTCAAACAAACCTTTTCATTTCCAGCCAAAATCGAATGTATCTGACGATGGATGCTGACGTCAACCTGACATCGGGTTCTGACATCAATCCGACTTTCATTTCCAACCAAAATACAACCCCTGCAAGGCTGGAACCAAAATCATCCCCAGACTTACGTTACTATTTTCAACTGAAGAACGATATTTGTAAAAAAAAAAAAAAAAAAACTACGATATTTGTCTTTCAAATGAAGTTAAAGTAAAAAGTAAAGTGTATACACCGGTATGTTCAAAAAGTGTACTAGTTCACTTTAAAAAAAACTTTTGCTGATAATTTACTCATCCCCATGTCATCCAAGATGTCCATGTCTTTCTTTCTTCAGTCGAAAAAAAAATTAAGGTTTTTGATGAAAACATTACAGGATTTTTCTCCATATAATGGACTTCAATGGACAGTTTCCAACATGCAAATGACACTTTCAGTGCAGCTTAAAAGGGCTTTAAATGCTACCAGACGATGAATCTAGCGAAACGATCGGTCATTTCAAAAATAAATAAAAAGTTTAAGTTTTATAAGCACAAATGCTCATCTTGCTCTGTTCTGTGATGCGCGTTCATGACTCTCCTGTTTGAAATCATTCATCAAAATGAATGAATCTTTGGATGACATGGGGGTGAGTAAATTATCAGTTTCAAGACGTCAGATTCATTAGCCGCTAGTAAATAACTAAAAGGATAACAAAGTGCAGTAAATGGAAAAACTATTTGCTCTACAAACCAGTGTGATCATGTTTTTGATAATTAATTGAAATAATATTATAACAAAAAGGCATACAGTTTAAAATATAAAACAGCATAATAGACAGGTAAAATATATGGAATTGAACATTGAAAGCCTTCAGCATTCAAGTCACAAATGGCCGTGTCTGCTCTAAGGGATAGTTCACTTTGAAATTAATTTTTGATATGTTTTAGCTTACCTCAAGGTCATCCAAGATGTAGGTGTCTTTGTTTCCACATATTTTCAATTTTGACATGTTTTGGTCAAACCGTTGTTGTTTGTCAGTCATATAATGCAGGTCTGGAGCCCACCTCAAAGAGCATGCACAGAGAAGTCAAAATTAAACATGATTTAATGACTTGTGAATGTAAGTTCACACTGATGGCCTAAGACATGAAACGAGGGGTTTGTCTGTTTGTGTGAGAAAACGAACAGTATTTATATGGTTTTTACCTCTTGTTAACAGCCGTCGAACTGCATCAGATGTCCAACTGAACCGAACTGAAGAACTGAACCGTCTCCAACGTGACGCCGGAAGTGATCGTGTGCGTATGTATGTCACGCATTGTTTACACGGAGATTTCGGAAGTTTTACCTTTCAATAAACATATTTAGATATAAGGGAAATCGCAATGGAAGACGATTTCGATATATCTAAATATGTTTAGTGAAAGGTAAAACTTCTGACATCTCCGTGTAAACAATGCGTGACGACCCTTTAAAAATTGTCTCACTCTGAGGTTTTTCATATCAAAATAAGTTAATTAGTACATGATCTTTCTTGACTCAAACTACTGATTGTAATAAAACTTGCCAGGGAGGGCAGTAGGCTAATAATTTTAATATAGGGTGAGCATAAAGTCAAGATAAAGCAAGAAAACGCAAACTAGATGGAAAAAATAGACGATTTGTTACCTAGAAACCTAATTATGCTAGATAATTAATAAACAGGAAAACTGATTTGAAATAAATTATAGGCCTAATGTGTATTTTTTATTACCGTTGAAATGTTCACCCTGTTGCTAGGCTGACTGTTTTTTTTCCACCCAGTGATTTTTCCTAGTGGAATCTTTACGATACTCCAGTAAGATAATAATATAATATAAAACTTCAATCAATATTTCATGTCCATGTAGCCGTGAAATCAATATTTAATGTCCATGTAGCCGTGTAATAAGGGGGATAATCAGCCACTCCTTATCACAATAATAAACCCTTTAGAATGATCAGGATGTCCAACGCCTGCGGTTCATCAGAGCGGAACTCTGTGTACGGTAGTATTTTCCACACCGACACATATCTGAGTAACTTCTTCCGCTCCTGGTAGCCTGTTTCTAGCACAGCAACTGAACGATTACTGTTAAAGGATCCGTTCCTTTACTTTACTCACATCTTTCTCCGTTTTTTGTACCACAGGTAAGTACAATAATAGTGTTTGTTAATAATAACAAACTACAGTATTGTGGTTTAATAAGAAATTTGATTTCAAAAGGGTGCGATCCGTTTAATGTTAGCTAAATTAGCATAACAAGCTAACGTTACTCAATGTCCACAACGTAGGACTTTTGTTTTTCTTTTTTGATTTACGGTAAGACTGAATAACTTTTGCATTCCGACTTTCCGAGCAACTCTTCATGATCTGAAGCTTAGATATAGCTATTTCTTAACGTTACTGTGTTAACTAACGTTACTTCTGGTCCCCGACTCTATCTGGAGTTGTTATTAACGTTAGTCCCCACCACCACACTTGTTTTATATAGGAACAAAAAGTGAAAATATTACGAATATATATATATATATATATATATATATATATATATATATATATCAACTCGCATCTTTTGATGAAAACAAATCTGTATTTTGAAGAGAACCATAACTTGTATTATTTGAGTTCTAAATAATACCAATACATTATTTTGTATATCTCTGAAGATTTTTTGGTTAATCATTTTCTTTGTTTGTGTCAGAAACAGATTTTTCTAATCAAAGATGACAGACCGTTACAACATTCACAGTCAGCTGGAGCATCTGCAGTCAAAGTACATCGGCACGGGCCACGCAGACACTAGCAAATGGGAATGGCTAGTTAACCAGCACAGAGACTCGTACTGCTCCTACATGGGCCATTTTGACCTTCTCAATTACTTTGCCGTCGCTGAGAACGAGAGCAAGGCTCGGGTCCGCTTTAACCTGATGGAGAAGATGCTGCAGCCATGTGGTCCACCAGCCGACAAACCTGAAGATGCTTAGGGCCATTGTGACTGAATCCCTGCACATTGGGGGACTCTTTAAATCATCTTGTTTGAGAACCCGTCAATGTTTTCTCGCTTTTTTTATATTTTGTATAGGTTGTTGAACTCCAAGAAAATAAATGTGATGCCCTCAGAAAAATGCATTGATTGTATTGTTTTAATATTATAACATTTATTTAAATAACAAAAATTTAAGAAATTAATACTTTTATTCAGAAAGGATGCATTAAACTGATAAAAAGGGTGTAAACACAATTCTAATTTTACAGAAGATTTCTGTTTTTCTATTTCCTCAAGAAATCCTTAAAAGATTGTTTAAAGTTTTCACAATATCAAGCAGCACAGCTGTTTTCAACATTAATAAGAAATGTTTCCTGAGCAGAGTCATCATATTAATTTCTGAAGGATCATGTGACACTGAAGACTTGAGTAAAGATGCTAAAAATTCAGCTTTGCCAGCACAGGAATAAATTACATTTTGAAATAGAAACTCTGTATTAAATTGTAATAATATTTCACAATATTAGTTTTTACTATATCTTTGTCAAATAAATGCAGCCTGGGTTTTAGTGATATAAAAAATATAGTGATAATGTTCTTAATGGATATTAGTTGTATAACCAAGAGGGTTAGGGTCGCTGAGTTGGTCTGGGAAACTGAGTGGGGGTAAACGATGGCAAGTACATTATAAGGTTGGTCTAATAAGTTCGTTTACTCTCAATAGGAAATCAGATCTATTTACATTTACTAAAAGTGTGGAAAGTTGCTTCGATCCGCTTTGCTATATTGCTCGTTTACAAATTAATCGAGCGAAAGCATAAAAAAGGTGTGGATTTTTCCAATGTTTGTCCGACGAATCAGCACAGAGGAAATTTGGCATCAACATGAGTTCACTGATAAGATATTTGCAGTCTTTGAGCGTGACAGTCAGTGGTTGCCACAATCATAGCAGGGCAAATCCTCGCCAGCTGGCCCCACAGTTTGAGTTATTCTTACAACAGGGTCATTTCTGCAGTGTCAGGATCAGGAACAACATACTGGCACAGCAGATCACCGGTGGTGTTCATGCTGAAGAAGACCAGCTATTTTTAATTTATAACGAGGAATAATGCTGAATTAAACTGTCCAGAAGGAATTATGTATAAAAATTCTTCGCTTCAGCAAATCGTCATTTCTGTAGTAACAACAACCCTTTTAGTCAGTCATTTCCCTAGCTCTTCTTTCAAACATAATCCTTGCTCCGAGAAAAGAGCACCTGGGCTGCCCACACAAAAAGACCACTAAGCAAACATTTAATGTCCTTCAGTGGTCGGCACTAACCTTGACAGCATGTGGGACGTGGCTATTGCTACATTTAGTCAACCATAAAGCCATCATCTACATCCCTAATGGTGAAATCTCAAATAGCCATAACTTCCAGCGGAAAGCCCTTCAATATGAGCAGAGGAAGAACTGTCACATGCTAGATGAGTCTTAAGTCAGCTTGCTATGTGCGCTAGAGCCTAAATGTGCTTCTAGATTAAAGGTCATTGTGCTCCAGCAAATCAGTAATGCCCAATTAATCTGAAAATCTGTCTGTCATGCTGCAATTCAATATAAGATCATAAAGGTTTACGCTTAAAACATTTTTCTGAGTACATAAGCATATCTATGATTAAATATGTGATAACAGATGCCAGCACCATCTGATTAGAGGCACAAGCAACTGGAGAGGAAAAACAAGTTAAAACAAGCATGAAATCAAATGGAGTGCATTTGGCGCCAATGACGACAGCGCAGGTCATGTCTAAAAGGGCTTGATGGGAAATGTGTGACCAGCCGACATATATATACAATATTTGCTATGTATGCTCCCCAAGAATAAGACTATTGGATCTCATTTACTGTAGGCTGCTTTTACTTTTACAGTAAACGAGGAAACACATGCACAATACTCAATGCATGACTGTAATGCGTCACTGGGAAAACAGTTCAAGAGCACAGCTGACTCCTGAAGTCCTCTTACACACAACGATTTCCTGGACAAAAGACAGTATTTACAATAGCAAGCGCCTGATTTATCACTTACAATAATGACGTAATACAATCATTTTGACTTAATAGACAATCTAGCCACTGCAGGGTAATGTCTCCTGCTGTAGGAATCTAACTAGTATAGATGCATTAAAATGGCTTTGTTTATTTATATATCCTGTTGCATTTACAATAAAGTAGATTATTTTAAAATGCATCTTCACATAAAAAGTTCACATATAGTACCTAGTTAGCATTTCATCTTGTCGAAGTATATAGATGTATGCTCAGAATAATTTAGGATGTACAGCATTAAATATGCTTCTAAATTATATGAATTACAAAATCTTTAAAAAAAAGCATTAGCATTACAAATGGCATTTATGATCGCTACACTTAATCAAAGATTATAATGAAAGCAATGAATTATTTAGCAATGAATCCTCTAGTTTTGTTTGACTAAAATGCTAATGGGTTTTACAGTTGACTGCACCATGAAAAAAACCAGCCAGATGTCCTGGTTTCCTTTCATTCCTTGCACAAATAATTTGTAAAATAAATGCACTCATAATGATTGGTTTCTCAGCTCTTATCTTCATTAAGCACAAAATAAAGCAATAATCGATCTGAGATTAATTATGTGTGTATCTATATATATATATATATATATATATATATATGTATGTGTATATTATATATATATATAAACATGTATAAAAAAAATTAAATATGAACATATCTCTCACTACAATGTGAGAATTTAAAATGTGTAAACTACACCAATTCATACTCCAATAATCCATCCATCTTAAATGGTTCATGATTAAATATTGATGAAATCTAGAGAAATGTGATCTAAAATGGTGATTTGTAAATGGGAGAGCTGTTCAACCAAGATCTAACTAAATATAAACATTTAGAATGACAAGTTAATGTGCTTTCTTACCCCTTTAAATGCTTCTCTGTGAAATAAATCAAGCCAATATACTGCAATATACTGTATTCACATATATGATACACAGACTGTACAATTGATTTGAAATAACTTAAAAGTTTCCCCAATTTCTAACATGAACAAAAAAAAAAAGCTAAAAGATTCTGTATTTGACATACAATCAGATATTATATAAAGCACCAAAATGTGCAATAATGCAATACTGACATTCAAAAATGGACTAAAATAATGGACTAGAAGCCCTTTCCAATTTTGAGTTAAAACTATTGTTTTACTACATTTTATTGCGTGCAACATCTTGTTCGGCACCACTGTACTTAAAACTCACCACATTATGAACAACCTAAAAGCCAAATCAATGACACTACGTGGATTTTTTTTTTTTTTGGAAAACTGTCATAATTTTTAGGGGAAAGTATAATGCAAGTTGGATTCTGTCATAAACATATGATGATAGTCTATTCCTGAACAGCAATTACACTCACCGGCCACTTTATTAGGTACCCCATGCTAGTAACGGGTTGGACCCCCTTTTGCCTTCAGAACTGCCTCAATTCTTCGTGGCATAGATTCAACAAGGTGCTGGAAGCATTCCTCAGGGAGTTTGGTCCATATTGACATGATGGCATCACACAGTTGCCGCAGATTTGTCGGCTGCACATCCATGATGCGAATCTCCCGTTCCACCACATCCCAAAGATGCTCTATTGGATTGAGATCTGGTGACTGTGGAGGCCATTTGAGTACAGCGAACTCATTGTCATGTTCAAGAAACCAGTCTGAGATGATTCCAGCTTTATGACATGGCGCATTATCCTGCTGAAAGTAGCCATCAGAAGTTGGGTACATTGTGGTCATAAAGGGATGGACATGGTCAGCAACAATACTCAGGTAGGCTGTGGCGTTGCAACGATGCTCAATTGGTACCAAGGGGCCCAAAGAGTGCCAAGAAAATATTCCCCACACCATGACACCACCCACCACCAGCCTGAACCGTTGATACAAGCAGGATGGATCCATGCTTTCATGTTGTAGACGCCAAATTCTGACCTACCATCCGAATGTCGCAGCAGAAATCGAGACTCATCAGACGAGGCAACGTTTTTCCAATCTTCTATTGTCCAATTTCGATGAGCTTGTGCAAATTGTAGCCTCAGTTTCCTGTTCTTAGCTGAAAGGAGTGGCACCCGGTGTGGTCTTCTGCTGCTGTAGCCCATCTGCCTCAAAGTTCGACGTACTGTGCGTTCAGAGCTGCTCTTCTGCCCACCTTGGTTGTAACGGGTGGTTATTTGAGTCACTGTTGCCCTTCTATCAGCTCGAACCAGTCTGGCCATTCTCCTCTGACCTCTGGCATCAACAAGGCATTTCCGCCCACAGAACTGCCGCTCACTGGATGTTTTTTCTTTTTCGGACCATTCTCTGTAAACCCTAGAGATGGTTGTGCATGAAAATCCCAGTAGATTAGCAGTTTCTGAAATACTCAGACCAGCCCTTCTGGCACCAACAATCATGCCACGTTCAAAGTCACTCAAATCACCTTTCTTCCCCATACTGATGCTCGGTTTGAACTGCAGGAGATTGTCTTGACCATGTCTACATGCCTAAATGCACTGAGTTGCCGCCATGTGATTGGCTGCTTAGAAATTAAGTGTTAACGAGCAGTTGGACAGGTGTACCTAATAAAGTGGCCGGTGAGTGTATATAAGATATGTTACAACATGACCACATGTATATCAAGTAATCTGACTTTTTTTTTTTTTTTTAAGAAAAACAACACTGTAAAGGCACAACATAAATCTGATTACATTCTTTTATACTGAGGATGGTATTAATCTGGATACAGAGGACTAATGGCAGTAATAAACCTGGACATCACAATGGACCTCAATATCCATGTAATGGACACAGAACCAGATACATGAGTCTTATAAAACCTTTTTTTTTTCACATGCATGGATATTCATAGATATTACTGGACTCTGCACGAATACAGCAAGAAATATGTAATATATACACAACACAAAAAAAAAAAAAAAACAATCCTCAGAGCTGCACGCATCAACAACGTAAGCCAATGTTGAGTCACTGCACGCGCTCATTTTTACACTGATGTGCTCAAGTGAACCTTTCGAAAATACCAAGGACACTTTAAATTAAAAGAGTGTAAGTCTTGTC